CCCTTCACAGACAGCCGGATGTCGCGACGGCGCACAAATGTCTCAATGTGGCCAATGCCAACCGAGCCTTTTGTATGCGCGCCGACACTTCATCTGTGATGCGTCCGCCAGGTGGGATATAGCTGCCCAGATAACAGAACTTGTCTACTTCCTCTACTACTTCCCCAGTCAGAGTGAGACCGGGTGCCAGACCAACCCAATCTTGGAGCAACATTTTACATTTTGAAGGTACAAACCGCATACCGCACATGACTACACTAGCACTCAAACTATCCAGAAAAGCTTGCAACTTACCTGGAACACTCTGGAAGGTTATCTCCCTAGCACTGAAGACTAGAGTCTTAGCAATCTCCCAGTGGAAATCCGTCCTACCAGATGTACTGCACTCGATCCGCTCTCTCTTGTGCATCGCTACAAACTCCAATCCACTCGAGCGACCTTTTTGTTTCGACCGACGCTCCACCAATGGTAGGTCCCCTTTAACCTGGTTGACTATCCCTGGCCCGGTGCTGCTCAATCGCAGGGATCATTTTCTTGTTATCACGTCTATACACCATTTTCTATTGCCTAATACATAGCGGTTTTTACTATTTCAACTCGTGTACCGGATTTATTAGAGTAAAGCGTACAGGTCCAACTGCTAGTCTCCTCCGTGCCGCATCCGTTTGCGTGTGTCGTAAAACGTTACAGGGATTAGACGCACTATCGCTTTGAGAATAGATATACGAACAATATTCCACAGAACAAAGCTATCGCACCGAGTGATGAACCGTTTTAGCAAACAGAAACAAGTGCATATTGATTGAATGTTATGTACAGAAATTTATACGATGAATGTTTGGATTGTGCACAGAAACTTGATCTTGAATTGAGAACTCCCAAACAGTGTGCTAACGTCTTTCTTGACATCAGTGTTCAGAAATCAAAACATAAAGATAGCCGGGTGGACTTGTAGAAATAAAACGAAGTAAAGGAATGAGGACAAAGGGGTAAGTCACACTAAATGGTCTCACGATATTATTAGTTTCCTTCCAGCCACCTCTCTTCCATCGGGATTATAGATGACCCAGGGAAATGTGATAGGTCGTGCTCTATCGTGAACGGGAGGTAATTAAATAGAAGAGATAAATTACAAATAGTGGTAGACAAAGAAATTCGGTCATAACTTACTTCACTGTCCAAAAAGTTAGCCATTGCCGCTGTACTGTCAGCGATCGCCTCGTCGAACTTCTTCTGAGCTTCCAGGAATTCGGGATTGGAGGGTTGGGTACGACCTGATCCGAGTCGAACAGGAGACAAAGTTGGGGAAGGAGGNGACGTTAAAAATAACTGATGCGGCAGCACCAGCGATCACTGAGGCCCACATCAACAAAGTACGGACGAATCAAAAACGGGCTCAAGACATACTACAGTGAAATAGCATCAGGTGCGCTATCGATAAAATAGGATGAACATAGGTAATTATATTTGATACTGTATGTTTCTGTCAAACTGTTCATAACACGCGTTACACATTATATCTGGAAAAAAACAGAAGGCTCGACAAATAGATCATATTTGGTGATAAAATAAATGAAAACTATTCACATGTGAACTAAAAGCCACTACAACGCTCCAATTACTGCATTATTTTAGGGACTGTAGCTGGTTAATAAAATAGAGTATCGGATTATACCTAGCACACCTTGCGTCCCTTTCGTCTACATTGAACATATCGTCTGTGAATACGTGATCATCGGTTGAAGATTAATTGACATTCCATTGAATGATTTATCCTCTTAAAAAATTGCAACATCAAAGAATCGATCAGCTAATTTGTTTTTCGTATTACTCGGTATTTAATGTTCCCATATTTACACCATGTAATAGATAGGGATCAGCGAAATCACCAGTGTGACTGGGCAGCTTCGTATCCCCATAGAATTGTCCATAAGCTGGAAAAAGGACTCAAACTGATAAAGTGCTAAAACCTCTAAAGCGGGCACGTGCAGTAAACTGATGAGATCCGTGTCAACAAGCTGTTTTGATTAATCTATGGTTAGAAAAGCGTACACACAAGCAACCAATAACAATAGTGCATTTATTCTGAGAATAATTAGGGTGAAATAACAGAGAACGTATCGTTAGGAAATTGGTTCAACAAGGATAGTTTTTATTTACATTAATAAATGGTCGCGTGCACGATCGATGTACATGTGCGTCTGCTGCAAAAAATAATCGAATATATACAAGACAGAATAGAGCTGTCTGTCATGGTTTTATTTTGAAATTTTGAGCGCAACACGACATTCTCTTCCGCTGATTTGTAGATGGAAACATTCATTTGTAAAACATTTTGAAAACCTTAAAATGGCTTGTTAATGTGTTTGGAAACAGAAATCCAACCAAAATCGAAAGCGCTTGAATGTCTAACCAAATCCAGTGTTTCGTTGGGGTGAAACAAGAAAGGCTGTTCGTTGCGACAGTGGTATTCATGTGGTTTCAGTCTTCGTCACTGACGCGCCGTTCGGAACCAAATATATTGAATTCAGAGCTTGTCCCTGATACCCAACTTTTGTGATGCGCTGTAATCGGACTCGGCATTACGCCTATCCTATTAGGGTCAAATGTGGTTGGTCAATTCAAGTCCTACCGAAGCTTGTCTTGCTGGAACCCATTTGCGAACAGTAAGTAAATTCTTGTGATCATGGAGTTCATTTTGTCTGTTTAATGGTTAATAGTTGTACTAACTGAAACTGTACTGAATGTTTATCACGCAACGGTGTATAATTAGATAGAATGAAATCACATTGAACGCAAAAAATCCTTTCAAGTCTTGCAAACCATCTGCAAAACACCACAAACGCAGGGCGAGCATGCAATAGACAAGCCATGGCGGCACATATTGGAATATACGACTAATTTGAGACGGAGTGGGAGGTCCGGTTTTCCATTGCGACCTTCATGGGATATTTGATTGTACAAACGATTTTTTAAATTTGCGATCAATCTCCAATTAGTGGCGTTCCGCAAATGATCTTTTTGTTCATGATATTACTCACATACTGGTCTGTTCACAGGACAGGGTTGTTTCTAGAAGGAAATCTATGATGAATTTAAATTGGAAAGTGGAGAGAGGGTAACCCTGTCGAACAACACGTTTTGTGATGAACTCGGGTGAAAAAGTGACGTTATCTCCGACTCCGTTTCAGTAAATACTATAACAGGATCGTAAATTCTTAGGCACACGCTTCAGGGAGAGGCGGGGGCAGAGTATAAAGCGGTGGATTAAACTGAACACCGCTTTCAGCTCGAATAAGATGGGTCCACGAAAACAATATCGGTGTTCCAGAATTTACCGAACAGTGAAAATGTCGTCTGCATAACCTCGACCAGTTCTGAAATCAGCCTGATTCTCATGCGTGCGCCCTCCGTACGTGGCAGCCAGTCGGCGAGAAGTTTGGAGAAAATTTTGATCGAACTGATTCCCCTGTGGTTTTCAAATCCGTGGGATGACCGATATTGAGGACCGTTTCACTCCTCCGCGTTAAACCCAAGAGTTTCGTCAACTCCAAAACCAATACTGAACCTCTATCACTAAAAGCCGATGAAGACAGCCCAGAAACCTTTTACCTTCTGAGTCTTTGGATTCTGATCCACACCGCAATGGGGCATAGATTCAACGCGGGAGCATGGCCGAAGCTCTTCCGCGGGAGCTTCTAGAGACCCACCTGGACTTAAGCGTACTGCTCGCTGGTGCGTTAATTGACGATCCGCTATTTGGGGTCTGCCCTTGCCTCGTGCGCATAACGAGACAGGTGGTACGTGGATGAGACAGTACTTATTTGCTGGGGTTGGCGGGTGGCAGCAGTCCAAAGAAATGCGAAAACTTTTCCCACCGTTGGGAAGGAGCCAAAGGTACCCCGCTCCTTTCATCTAGCGGGCGGGAGGTTGGGGAGTTGGGCCAATAAACTGGTCCTCTCCGTGTTGATTTGCCGGAGTGACCTCTGCAGAGTAGAAAGTTACCCTGTGAGACTGAGCTTCGTTTGGTCCCTAACTATTGATATTTCGAGCAAGATTGGATTTGCGGTTTTGATAAGCTCTCCTTCAAAGCCATGGAGGCGCACAAATCATCACACCATATCAAGGTGAATTTTCGTCGTGATGAAAAGCGACTATATGTAACAAACTATTTCTTTTAGGGCCTCTGGTAAGTTTCTTTCAAAGTTTTGGGCACTAAATGGTTTCTTCGCGATGGGTTTGAATATTGATTCTGAATAAGCAAATCCATCGGTGTGGTATTTAAGGAGCAATTTCGAGGCACTTGGATGAGTTGCATAGATCCAACGGTTCCAATAATAAGAAAGATTCACATAAATCAACTGAATGTTCTAAATGTGTTACACGATATTCCAAACGCGAGTGTCGGACAAATGCGAATAAACCAAAATAGATCCGAGTCAAGTTTTTCTCTCTCTAATAAAGGACTAATTGGCGTTGAGCGTTACTGAGTGAACCCTTCACATCTGCATCTGAATCTCACAAGGATTGAGAAATAGGCAATGCAGCTAGTTTATAATAAGACAGAGCTGCAAAGTACGATATACCGTTTCCGTGATGAGTTTCACCTCAAATCCATTTTAATAGCCAATCATTTTATATCAAAAGTGGGGAATGAACTGCTCCCAAATATAATCCACGTATACAACTAACAACAATGAACCACCCTTGTCCGTAGTAAATGACGATTTTTACCCCATGAATCTTCTCGGTCTCCTCTCATTGTGTGGGTCAAGTTACATTTCTATCCATAGTTTTAACTCACTCTTTCGTAAGTACTGATGTGGGATAAATGCTATTCAACTTGAATGACTATTTCTTAAACTCCCGCAATCACGCACGGGGGAAGCAATGGACCTGAGTTGCTCGCCCGTTATAGTTTACCAGTAGTGCACATTTATCGGTCCATGCAGGTTTAGAATTTGGGATTTCCTGCGTGAAAGATGACGGTTGAGCAACCGTTAGTGGGTAATTCCTGTCAGCTTGCAATACGATTTGATTGGCACTGTAATAACACATCCATTTTCTAACTCATTCATTTCTATTATGTATCATGCATATTTTATCACGGTTTATTACGGTAAAAATCCTCATAATTTCAGTTGGAATTAAACTACCTGATTTCTCAAAACCTCTTGGAGAAAGTCAAGTTGTGATGGAATCATAAACCCTGTAGACATGATTCAGTTTCAGCCTTTTTTATGTAGATGACGCCTGAATTAGGGACACACTAATGTGTCGTAGTAAGTAAAGTTGATTGAATCATCATCTACCCGTGAGAATGCTAACCACTGACGAGGTGATTCGTAGTCGAAACTGAATGAACAGATTTTGCAGACGTTCTGATTAGTTTGTGAATTGTTCCATATAAACAACGAACACTGGACAGCTTTTCGCATCTATTCTTAGGGCATAGAAACCAACCCACACCAAAACTGCCACATATCGGCAAAGAGCGAAAAACCTCATAAGACAGATTCGATCGAAGGGTAAAAAACGCGTGCAGGAGTGCAATAAGTAGTAGTAGTATTTTGAGCTGTGACAGAATCATTAATACCACCAAGTGCCCTTACCAACACGACAGTCACCACCACAAAAAAAACACCGAGAAAAACAGCACGCACAAGTGAACTCTGATTTGTCGTGCAATAAAAAGCAACACTTACCCGGATCTAACCACAAATAATATAAGTGGCAGGTTGGGAAAAAGGTCTACTTCAGATTTGACAAAACAAACAGATGGGAAAATGAAACTGCAATACCATTGTGCATCAGCTGTTGTATATGAACTAATGAGAATGGACTGTTTTCGCAACCAGTCATTTGTGGGAAATCAGAAGAGCAACCGTTCAAGTTTTCCACACAATTGTACTGCAGTAAAATGAGCCTGTTTTTAACCGCAGAGATTTACTGTGCCCCCGACATAAGCGACAGTATCAAGTTCGAATGAGAAGCGCTGTGTGGCGATGTCTTACACGACAAAAGCCAGGGTCATCAAGGCTAGACTCAATACGGTTTGCTGGACACGTGTGCGTGTCGAAACATTTGGAAGGATTAAGAGATAGGACCGATGTGGCGGAAAACCGTTGGACGTTATCCAAGTTGTCAGAAAACTGTGAAAGACCAGAAGAATTAGAAATGGCCTGACACAAGACCACATCGTCAGTATACTTGAAGAGAGACAGACAAGTCACTAATATACGTTGAAAATAAGTATGGGGAAAGAACTGGGAAGGGAAAAATAATCGAAATTGTTGCAATTGGTCTCATCCTAATCACAATATAACAAAGAAATGCTCAAGTGTTTCTCATTTTCTATCAAACTGGTGAAACATGGATGTGGGCTTTAAAAATGTCTAGTCACTGATCTGGACGATCAAAAACAGTTGATCATCAAAGTGGAAACACAATTACAATGGCTAAACGTGATTACTATTAAAACCACCTGTGGGTGTGGTACCAACTGTTTACCTTTCTGAAAGAACTTTCCTTAATCTTTGCTAACAATCTGGATCACTGATTACCTACCTCCGCTTCACATCAACACTCAAGATAGTGACAAAATCATTTTCCGGTGCATTGTGTGATCTAACTGACGACTCTGTGTGACTGAGGTGAACCGAAACCTGCATCTAGACCGCATGCCAAATAAAACAAGATATATTTATCGTTTTATAATATATATATATATATATATAATATTCGCCTTCTTTTCACTCTGTTCTTTATCTCAATCCACCCATCCCCTGTTATTATTATTGTTTTTATCGTCGTGGCATTGGAACCATGCTTGTCCGCAAACCGGCGGTAAATGTATATTTATGTATAACATTCTTGACACCTTTGACCCCTTACGCATTCTACGCGTGCTATGTTCAACACTGTCAAGCTGTGAGGGACAGAATGCCAGTGAATGAATGACCGGGTACGTAACAACCCTGGTCTGCTCGTCAAGATACTGAGATGTGAACGGATGATTAGGCCAATCCGATAGTTATCTCTCACCGAAATCATAGTTTGCTCTTAACGGAAGTTGTAGAGGCTAGAACATTTTTTTACCACCCTATGTATGCAGTGTGATCTAGTATCCACAGACAGGAAAGATGTAGCCATAAACGTATCCGATCTCGAGATGAGACAATATAACGTGAGAGGAAGGTGTCAAATAGATGGTGAAATGCAATCATTGACTCCGAATTTCGTTCCAACGGAATGTGAACCTTCAAGTTCATAATCCCGGCAACGAATAACAAATGAAACCTGTGAAGACCGCTAATAGCGGTAAGAAGAGCACAAGTCAGAGCCCGCAAAGGTTTGCCTTGAAAATTGAATCTGCTGCTTCCGCCCTCTTCCGAACCTTGTTTTATTTATCTACGGTAATCGAGCCGGTAAAGAAACAACCGATCACCTATAGTCGCCATATCAAGCGCAGTGGGATCGTACAATTTAACTAGCAGTGTGATTATAACAGAGCTTCTGTGCGTAGCGTCACCAAAATTGGTTTCAATGCCTGGTTTTGCCGTTTCAAGACAAAGGGTGATTGTGCATGAAAATTCTTTCAAGCTCTGTTATATGGATGGATCACAAACTTTTGAAAAATATCATCCAACAACTTTTGCTGGCTCGATAAAGTTGCATTCTGGCACTAACGGAGATTAGAGATACCTTGATGTCACATCAACAGACACCTGCTACTCGCATCAATCGAAAATAACGACTTTAAGTGCTGAGTTCACATTCGCAATTTGCTGCTATGTATGAATAACTGATTGTTGACAAATTGCCAGCTGGGCAGGTTTGCTGGTACAATCATAGTGCATCTGTGTGACTTTGTAACGCATTATTTAGACTCTTCGCCACACATCAGTTTGTTAATGCTGCAACATGTGGCATAATAACCAGGGTAGAGACTCAAGAATTACGGGTTTTGTCTCAAACTTGATGGGGAATGGTGTACTAAAGGAGTTGTCTTTTGTGAACGGTGTTTATTATCCTCGTCCCAAGAACGGAGTTTATTTTAATCGGAGATACGGAACAGTAAACATTTACTTTTTTGGTATCACTTTCTAATTTATTTCATGGCTTGTGAATACAAAACATTCTACCGTTGGTGTTACATTTGAGGTATTTACTCACGATGAACGGAAACACTGAAGCAGTAAAAACTGTGTCAAATGGTTTGACGATACGGGCACATCGTTCAAACCTTCTTCAATCAACATGTGGTACAGCGTGCGACCGCCAAACCACATCATTTCTTCACCAAGCTTGGCAACATCAGCATTTGAAGAAAATGAAATGTTTCAACATTCGTAAAACATCCTTTTCCCCTCATCTATTTCATCAACACAATAAGAAACATGTGGGCAGTGTATGGTTCTCAATTCTTTGCCTTTTCTTGTCGACTGAACCCCCGTCAACAGTCGTTTATATGCGATGCGTCTCCAGAAGTATATTAGTATCTGAAAGGGAAGCAACACCTAAGGTGTTCGTCCATCATTTAAGCGTATGCACCTACTGACTTCAGTTCTGACGCATTAAAAGAAGAGTTTTACAACAAACTCACCGAAACCATCTGGTTGAGTCGAAGCTCCGACTCGGTTGTATTTGCAGACGATTTTAATGCATAGATTGGAAAACTAAGCGCATCAAAAGCTTTCCTAGGTGGTCGTTGTGCTCTGACCTGCAAACAAACAGATAACGGCGATCGACTTCATTAGCTCTGCGTGCACAATCATTTTCTCCTATCCAGTACCAATTTCTGACAGAGCTCCCGACGCAGGCAACATGGCGCTTCAGTTCAATGGGTACGCTAACTCGGATCGAAATCCGGGGCTATAGCCGGGTTGGTGGACCACTGGAGTTGGCCAAAAACC